CATTAAAAGTTCTCGACTGTATCAATCTCGTTGAATTTCCCACGATGTTCTCACCCAAGCTGATGCACTTGGCAAATGTTAGCAGATTATTATCTCGAAGAAGAAAAATGACTCGGAGATTGAATCAAAAACGGTGAGTTTATAGCACGTGGTTCAAAAAGAGCCTATATTGTGTAAACGGATAAATAAGTGTTCGAATTTATTTAGTTCAACAATTTAACTAACGAACTTGCGATTCTTGGAAGTGGAAGAAAGGGGTGAAAAAACCACCGAAGCCGGAATTTAAGTCTATAAAATTAATCAGTTTCGATTCATTAAACAGGTAGTTTTGTCATTAGAGGCTCCGGTGGCTACAGGAGAGCTAAATCATTTACTATTCGCGGTATGTCGGACCTTCGAAACGAGCCCATTTGTATTATTTAATCCTCGGAGTTGGACGTTCCAGGATTAATGAGGAGCTCGACACACTTCATCTATTCGGTAATAAATTTTACATTGGATAAAATAAGCGATAATATATTTAATTTAATTTAATAATCAATTCAAAAAATCCAATGCAAAAACAAAATTCAAAAGATAAAATTTTATTCGTTATCATATTTATACCTAATACCTATGTATGTATAATAGAAGTAACTGTAAATAGTCTTGGTCTAAAGTTCGAGTTTGTTTCAAGAAAGGTTATACTGAAAAATCGAAAATCAAAATATTAATTTGAAATAAAATACATGCCGCAATGCATCAATTTCCACCGAAATATCGTACGACAAACACGTTTTAACAGAGAATACAAATTTACACACAATTGAATTGTATTAATGGAAGCATTTTAGAATAAATAGCGGTTTCATATGCGTATCACACGATCATAGACGGTTGTTTAGAATTGAGATAAGAGAAAACAGTAATAGTTCGGCTGTGGGATTGTTTAATAGATGTTGGGGTGAAATTGGATATGGATAGATTAGATGGTACTTGCTTATCGCTCGAAAATGGGTTTTGCCCCGTTTCAACCCCTTTAGGCAACCGAATAGCAAGAGATTATAATATTTTTTTTTAAATGTTGAAATTGTGTCGTTACTTTTGTTTGTTACTTAGGATAAACGAGACCCGACAAATTGGAACTTTCCTAAATTTTCCAAAACCTAATGAATTTTGGTATTTTTCGCTAATTTTTGAAAGTTTAATTTTTTGTTAATTAAAATATTTTTTATAAAACTCAAAACTTTTTCTTTTTACATTTATGAATATGCCTAAACCATTTTTTTGAATCAGGAGAAACTTTATTATCTCTCTTTTTCGTCTTTGTCTCGCAGGGTTTTTTGTGGCGTAGCGAAAATATCCATTAAAAATTTCTATCAAAAAGCGCCCTTATCCCAAATGTTGTATTAAATATTCAAACTTCCTTAATGTAACTTAATGTCGAAAAATAAATATAATCCTGGTTGTTTTCAAATAGCTCTTCTTCGAATAACGTTTTTTTGTTTATTTGAAACATTTTGTAGTGAGATAGTCAATTTTCCGTATAGATTTTTCCGTTTTCTCTATGTTTTTCCATTTTATTTTTCTTAATTGGACTTCATTCTGGTTTACAAAATAGGTGCATCTCTATGGAAGTTATCAAAACTCCCGTTTGTCTCTAGTTATGATTTTTATATTTGATTCCATTATATTAATCAGTTAATATATTTATTTGAAAACTAGAAATAGTTATTTTTTAATGTTTCTCATGGCAGAATGTCTGTATAAGGTAATTTTTTAATACTTTGAATAACAATCGTCGTCGATATTCTAATTCTGGGATCAATTTTTAAAAACGTTTTGCTTTTATTTTTTCATTATAATTTAATTTCCTGACTGTTCTTTCGACGTTTTAGGCTCTTTTTTTCTACATAAAAAATTCAATGTTACTTTCCTATATGTATGTAAATGAGTTCCGATCGTTTAGCTAATAAAGCTAATAATCATATTGGCTTAATAGAAAACTTTTTACCAAGCCTTTTTTCTTTTTGCTGATGTAAGAACAGTAAGTCAAATGTATTATTCTTTTTAATTTGGAGTTCCAAATCGCTTTGTCTGAATAATAATTAAAATCTTTTGTATATAGGTACGTTTTTTTATTACCTAGCGGACTCTTAATTAAGAGTCCGCTAACAAAGAGTTTTATTATTTAACAATACAGCATTTCGGGTAGGTACGAATTTATTTTCATTTTTAAGAAGTTTAATTTCAACCAGAAACTAACCCCTACATTGTTTTGCAAAATGTCTATACTCGTATTTCCTATATTATTAATTGCCTGTACCTGCTTACGATTATAAAGGCCCAATTTACTGTCGTAATTAATTATGTACCTACTCTAGAATTCCCAATGTGTAACTGCCAATGTGATATTTTTTGGCTTATCCCGTTTCTCCTGAATCTGGAAGAGTAGATCCGTCTCGGGACGCAAGACTTGTTGTTGAAGATTTGCAAAAACCACCTTTAGTTCCAAGAAGTCGCCTTTAAAAGGACGACTTTTAACAAAACCATTATTTACAAGAATTGGGTTTCACATGATTGCAAATGTAACGAATTCTTCATTTCCTATAGTTACACTATTGTTACATGTTTTCTATTTATAGGCATCATCTACTTTCTATTTTTCTGGTTTTAGAGGGCGGGGTAATTGTTTTTAACGTCACGTAATCGTTAACGTATTGATTAGGTTAGTTTAATTTTAACATATAGATAGCGTATTTTGTCGTCTAATTAATTCTTCGTGTGCTTTAAGTTGACTGTGATTGAGGACACTGAGAGACTGAGACTGAGACAACCAGAGATTTTTTTCTTATTTCCGGAGGCATCTGGATACAAAATATTTGACAAATTAAAAACTTTTAATTCTTCAAATAGTATTCATAAATTATTATTAGATATTTTATTAATTATTAATAACGAAATGATGATAATGATATGAAATTAATGAAGGTAACGTAAGGGTGTAAAATTATTAACAATCATATCAGCAACAAATCCAAGCAATTTCGGCCTGATCTGACCGGACCGAAGTATTCCGAAGGTGGCAAACACACCATGAATAATTTAAAAGTGAGTAAAATCCGAATTTTTGGCGAAAAAAGGCCCGCATATTTTCGTGTGCCCTTCCACTGAATTATTAACGCTATACCCGTAACCCGAGTGATATTTATGTTAAAATCAGGACAGAAGGAAACAGAATTGACTCGTGAAAAAACTTATGGTTACACTTCTATTTCGTCCTGTCCTCTACTCAGTTTGGCCCTGAAGGAGTTTAAATTTTCACAAATACGAAATGGAAACCGCAATGAATATTTTATTATGTACCATACCAGGTTTTTCTAATGACAATTAACTGATCTTACTTAAAACTCTCTTGGCCACTTCTGTTCTTCTTTAGTCTCACTTATTCACAAATAAATTGGCAAATATCCCATAAATTAGTCGCTTTTGCATATTACTCACTTAGAGAAAATAAACTCAGTGGTGCAGAGTGCACAAATACAACTCCAGGAAACGTTTGCAGATGTGCAGAGGCAAATGCACAGGGATCGGGCGAGAGGAGGTTTAATAGAATTAGTTCTGCCTTATTGGGAAGTTTCTACGATTGGAAATTGAAGAAATTAGGATAGGGTAAAGAGGAGCGCGTGTCTGTTTATTTACGATTTACATTCGTGGGTTTACAATTCTAGCTTTCGATCGACAGAGACGCGGCTTCACTGATTAATACAGGAAGTTATGTAGCTAATTGCTCGAGCGTACCAATTCTAATGTTACCTTCATAAAACATTTTCTTATTTAACTAAAGATATATTAAGATTAGTTCAGAGTCGGCGCAATTTGTATAAGACAGAATGTTGCTAAAATATGATATAAACTAAAGATCCTGTGCAACGATCATCCCAGTGATGCGATCCCTTTCTGTTTCTCTAATAGGTTCCAAGGATTTGAAAAATAGAGTTTAATAAAACTCACCTGTAAACGAGTTCCAATTAACATGGCTCCTTAACTTAACTTAAATTCAATTACCATGCTAAACAAAACTATTCAATAAACTAGGCACCTAGTACACCGCTGTTTATTTAGTAGTAGGTACTTATATTTAATTCTGGTTTTGTCAATAGAAATAAATGTTAAACTATAACCGTAGTTTGGATATTATGAATGTAATGTTGCAATTGATGCCTTATTTTAAATTTATCTAATATAATTTAATTGTGAAATAAAATCTTAATTAATTTTCAATATGATTGATATTTGGCCTGATGAAGATTGACTAGTCGCGAGCCAGATTCGATAAATAAGCTCAAAAACTATACGAACAGCTTAATAGATTAAGCGTTATCTATTTTGGAATTAGATCTGTTAGGTGACAGATCCGGACTAATTCGGGCAGGGCCGAGAAATTCTTTAAGCGATAAATCGTTGGGGAAAAGTCATATGGATACGAGGAAAAAGAGAAAAGCGTATTTTCTCGTCGATTGAATGTGGACTATTATCATCTAATTATTATGCATTACAAAAATGCATTCTTTTTGTGTTTATAATTTTTTTTTGAAAAAAAATTTACCAAAGCAGATCCTTAATAATATTTTTTATAAGGATAACCTCAAAGATATGGACACGGTTTCTGTAGGGTGGCCACTACCAAGATAAAAGGTATATTTGAATCTGTGTTAAAAAAAACTTTTAATTTTATACAGGGTGTGTACAAAAAATGTGAAGAGTTGAACTTCAAAAATACCAATTTTTTTCATTTTTTTAATGGAACCATCAGCGGTAAAAAATAAGGGAAGTTCATGTTCACTTCCCTATACCTAAACCTAATAGGTTTGATGATATTAAAATTTCAGTTAACGCTTACATTTTTGACTCGATTATTTTTGTTGCAGACAAATCGACATTTAACCACCAACAATTTTCTCGAATTTTGATATATTTTCAATCAGCCCGGAATGAGTGAGAGAATCCAGTGAATCGACATGGAGAGACGTAACGCCATTTTATCACTAGTTTATTTCGGTAAGTCTTTCATTTTTATTAATCACATCTACCAATAAGCAAACTTGACATTATTAACAATGTGTAATAAAAAGTTTATTTGCAACATCTAAATATTCAGTGAATATATTAATTGGTATGTTCCGCGGAGTTTTCTTTAAAATTACAGTAACACATATAACGTACCTGCTAACTATTCAAATAGAAATATATAATATAATAATTGGGCGGATATTATCTGCTTAATTAAATTTATTAAAGTTTGTTATTAAAAACAAAACAAAGCCTTCTTTATTCTCACGATTCGATTACCTATTTGTACACGAATTTGGAACGGCGAGTAGATGTTTTTTGTTAAAGAGAAAAAGTTACGTTCCGCAACGAATTTTCTGGGCGTAGGTGCCTAACTAATATAGTAGTTAGAACAACAACAGCTATATGCTTTAGCTACTGAATTCAATAATAAAGTTAGGTGTTTCAGGAACCTCTGTGAAGTTGGCACTCCAAATGATTTTTTTAATTATTTCTTTTTTACATTAAATGAAGATTTGTTTTTAGTTAAATGTAGTGAAGACGATTTCGTTTGTAGTTGTAAACAAAAAAAGTTATAAGGGATTTAAAATAGGGGTAGTTACCCAGGTTAAGAAAAAATTTCGGAAAACATATTATACGGTGTTAAATCGTTTGTAGTTAATAGTAGTAAATTAATTTATGCTTGTAGAAAAAAGAGAAAAATGTTAGAAACGAAAAATGTTAAGCCTTATTTTAAGCGAAATTAGCGTTTTTGCATTAATAATTTTGCGAAATCAATCGAAATGTACTTGTAGTTAATTGTAATTAGGACAATTTCGTTTGTTATGTTAAGCAAAAAAAAAAGAGAGAGTGAAAAAAAAGAGATTCTAAACCCAATTGGGTTTAATAATAACCTCCATAAATTTATGAAAATTAGCAAATAAACTATTTATTTTATGTTACGGTATAATCCTTTTGTAGTTTATTGTACAATATGTATGAAATATGTGCCATTTCCTGACAAATAAAGGTCAAATGTGGGCAACTTTGTTAGTTTAAATTGAGGAAAAAAACCAACAAAATGGTCAATATTATAATTCAACACCCCATTCGTCACATTGAAAGTCTAATTGTTGCAATTAAAGGGAAATTTGAACAAATTGAACATATTCAGCTATTTCTTTCTATGTTTAATTTGGTTGAAATATAGCAGTAATGATAGTATTATTACTGTATAATTTACTTTTTCTATTAAACTTATTATTTCATCGATTTCGCGGTCAACTTTATTGCAGTTGGCAGAGGGTAAAGAAAAACCTAATTTTCTCAACCTTCACCAAAACCTTCGCCGATAAATTGTATTTGATATTAAGGCGTTTTATAAGCACTTGAACTCCTTTCTGCACATACACGTCCTATATTCTATACTACCGTTGAAGACAATTTCCTCTGATAATTAATTAATTTCCTAATTAAAATACGAGCTCCTATAACAAGGTCAAGAAAGTAGATCTTTAAAAAATTATTTTTAAAAGTGACGAAAGTTATTATTTTTCCTTGGTTTGAATTCACTATTGAAAACCCATTTTAAATATTTAACCTGGCTGCGTAATAATTCTCAAGTACACTGTGGTGCCCGGTGGTTTAGTAAAACGAGAACACTTTCCACACAACAATATATTTTCTATTTAACGAAGTCCCGTAAATTAACATCTAACAATAAGTACTAACATTTTTACATTGCTAAATCACAACTACTAATCATCCGGTTCCCTATCACCCTCGGCCGGTTCGTCATCATCGTCATCGATGGTCTCCGCCGGCGTTGCCGCGCTCATCGGTTGCCACATACACCTAAATTATACATCGCAATTCTTGTAAAATTGTGTTAAATTTCTTAATAATAAAAATGTTTATTTACATTAATTTTTATTTTTTATTCTATTCGAAAATAAATACATATTCACAAATACTCTGTGTATATCGTCGTTAAATATACTTGAATGCTTTTAAATAACCATTCCATGCTACAGATTTTTTTCTTCATGTTTTCGCTTTTTACATTCCGCTGATTAAAACCTCCCAACAAAGATTTTAAATCTCACCACCGGGATATCAAAGAAGGAAATAAGTTTACCACCTCAAAGCGACACAAACCGTTACATGATTTGCGTATCTCCTGAGAGGAACTTTTTTAGAAAAAAATAAAAACAGGAGGAAAACTAAAAGCGAACTCAGAGGAGCCCTAGTAAGGGTCGGATAAAATCCTGCAATATTGGTTGTTGCAATTATTATATTAGTCTTCAGTGACATACATAAAATATGTTCATTACCCCATAACCACAATGTCATTTCTACTCGTTAATAATCAGATTTATTTAAACTGTATATTGTTTCCAACAAAATTTGAATCTGGGGATAAGAAACGCCACCACTGTTCTCGTCCTCCCTGCCAATTATGAGTATCAAGTGGTTTAAACGACGGGAAATCGGATGGTAAATAGCAGAATGTAGTAGTTGCTTATCGAAGGTTGAAAATCTTTTTGAGTGTGGAAAATCGCGACGGCGGATTGTCCAGAGCGTGAACAATTTTCCGGGGACGCTGAAAAGTTTTCGGGTTTCGTACCCGCATATCATTCTGCAAAAAGAAGGAAAATTGCGCAGCTGTACCGTTCGTTGAAGATGATTATAAGAATGGAAAAATTAAGATGAATTTATTGTATTAAATTCTAGGAACTTTTTTAAGTAACTATAAATTTACATTTCGAGGTTTTAATCACTTTTTTTCTTATCATTATTACAATGGAATGTACAATAGAATTGAATGATTTATAAACGTTATAGGTTCATGGATTTATTAGTACGCCCTAATTTCACTTCTTTGTAGCTAATTTGCTATAATTAATTCATTAATTTTGTGTAATTTTGAATTTTATAAGAGACCATAGACCATAAGAGATGTAAAATAATCAACAGATATTCTTATCCCTCTTATCTCTTATACGGATGTTTTCCGCTATTTCTCTTCCAATGCGTTAACAGAGTTATTCCTGCACTGTAGCCAATCCATTTATCTTGATATACTTTGTTGATTCGTCGTATATTTCAATTTTTGAAAAGTATATGGCGCACATAGGTTAGTGCGGGAGCACTATGGGATATGCTGGGTAACTTTATCTCCATTTTCTTGTTGCATGAAGATTTATGAAATTTCGCGGATTTTCCGCGCTCGGATATTTCCGGTTAAAAAGTAGATATTAATAACACTTTCGAGCTTATTACATGACTTTGGTCCCTAGAAAAAAATACGCTCTACAAATTAGGTCTCATATAACACTTTTCTATTCCTATGTATGCGAGGATTTAAATTTTGAAAAACTATATGGTTGTTAAATTTAATTTTTTCTCATTAAACTCAAAAACTACTTTTTCGTAGACATATTCCGTGTGAAGAAAACCCTCTATGAAGAAAAACTATATCCAAAAATTTGCAAGTATCTAAACAATATAAACTCTATGAAGTTATTTCAATTCTAGCGTACAGTGTACCTATTACAGTGAATTTTGGTCACCAGATGTTTTTATTTTATGTGTTAATTTTTGAAATAATAATTTCAAACCAATTTTTGGATGGAGAATAAAGAGACATTCCAAACGATTTATCACAAGCCCAAACTTTCCATTTAAAAAATTCGAGCTGGTAACTGTCCTTCGAAGGGAGTTGAAGGTAGAGATTAAATTTTCACGAATGTCAATCATCAAGAATGTCTATGAATGTACAGTAACCGAAATAATAAATTTATTTTAGTTACAAGGTCTCCACCCTCTATATATTGTATGCATCGTGAATAAAATGTGGAAAATGAATTTTCCCTTACACGAGAATTGGAACGAATGGTGCGAGTCACATTTCCTTCTGCGACTATTATAAAAATAATCCTTCTTGCGCGTGACGCTGGGTTTTCCTTGTTTTTCCTTAGTTTCTATCGTTTTTCCTCCAGTTCCTGTATGTTTTTAAACACGTACTACATTAACGAAGATGGATTAGAGGGCTTTTTATTTAACACATACGATTTCAAATTTTCTCCAGCATATGAATTTGCAAAAAGTTTCCATCTTTGTAAAAAAAAACTAAATATACAGTACATTCGTAAATATGTGTATAAATTAAGGAGATGCCACTGGGGACTTAATATTTAAAAATTCCTGTTGTATTGTCGGTGTTTCGATCCGTTTGAACAGGTTTAGTTTTCACCATTATTTCGCGATTCGATAAAAAAATGAACACTCAACTTTTCTCACTGATCCTCTTTGAAGTAATGCGAGGACTTTTCAAGAGGAAACTTTGGAACTCAACAGAAATTATTTATTGTTCAAGTTTCTAAACACGGATAAATAAGTAGGTGCCATGTGTACCTATACACGGAAAATATGGAAACCGTATACCGTAAAGATTAATATCGTCTGAGAGAGTAGAAATAAATAACCTATGGAACAATATACCGTATATCCAATTTCGAACGCTACAATCAGTAGAAAAAGAGAATCAATCGAACTGTGGAGAGGCGCGATGAATCGGATGTCGAATGTAGCATTCGACCTTGAACACATGGTATAGAATAATATAAAAAAATATAGAAAAATATGGCAAAATATAGAAAAATATAGAAAAATATAGAAAAATATAGAAAAATATAGAAAAATATAGAAAAATATAGAAAAATATAGAAAAATATAGAAAAATATAGAAAAATATAGAAAAATATAGAAAAATTTAGAAAAATATAGAAAAATATAGAAAATATAGAAAAGTTTGTTTTTTATTTTCTATTCACTTTTCGCCCCCGGCTAATCAAATCGAATGAATTATAATCGCATCATCGATGTATCCGATATCCCGGAATCTTTGAAAACCGATTCCAGGGCTCCGGATCAGGAGCCGACGAATCAGTCAACCGTTTCGGATCGAAATCACTCGTTATCCTGATCCTGATCCCGTCGAGTTAATG